GCACAGCATTGGGGAGAGCTGTGTCCATCAGTCGAGGCAGGGGGATGCCAAGGAGACAGCGTCCCACTCGGGGGTCCTGAATCCCTGGGCCTGCTTCCAGCAAGGCTGTCTGCGGGGGGTGGGGCATTCAGCACCCCCACACCAGCTCCACCTTCCTGTCGGATGAAGCCCAGGAAGACCTCCAGGGGCTCCTGCAGGGGCTGCTGAGGAAGGACCCGTCTGCTGGGCATCTGGCGGGGCTCCTTGGCGCGAGCGTGTGGGAGAGAAGATGGTGGCGAACGTAGGTCTCTTTTGAGGCTGGGAAGCAAAGACGAGCCTGGCAGGGAGAAATGACCACATCGGTGTCAGCAGAACTACAAAAACCGACTCCTTTAGACTTTAGGTGACAATTAATACAAAAATATTATTCTCTGTAATGACTGGACACCTAGCAGATTTCGTAAATTGGGTTTATCAGGTTGGATGTGTGTTGGAACTGTCAGCAGTGAAGACCAGATCCGGCATATATGTTATGGGCGTGTCCCGTTTTCAACTGGCCTTAGGGTTGGGAAATCCCCTGGAGATTTGGAAGTGGAGCCCGGGGAGAGCAGAGGTTGGGGAAGGGCAGGAACCTTATCAGAGCATCATGCCGTATAGTCCACCTTCCAATGAAGCCATTTTCTCCAGGGGAACTGAGCTGTGTAGGGTTCCCAGGCAGCACCTGACAAGTTGGTGGAGGCAGCATTATGGGAGAATTAAAAAGCAAGCCGCAGCCTCATGTACTCATTGGATGTTCTTACCGGAAGTGACAAAGGGCAGCTCTAGGAATCACTGGCCCATAGAGTTTCCAGCCGTTGCCAGAGCTACCCTACCCTTTGTCACTTCCAGTAAGAACTTCCAGTAGGTACATGTGGTGGCATTTAAAATACAAATCCAAGTGGCAGTGGAGAACAGGACCCTGGGGGCGGGGGATTCCCCACCCACCCCACTGAGGACTGGGCAGCCCTAGACCTGTGTCATCTGGACAGCCGCTGCAATTCCTGGAGATCTCCAGGCCCCAGGTGGAAAACTGGATGAGAGAAGATTTCACTGAGTGTGAGCATTATGCAGAGAGACAGGAGGCAGAGGTGACTGCTGAGTAGGAAAAGGGTTCCCTGGGTCTACACGTATTCTGCTCTGAAGGAGCCCGACGAAACCGGTGTTGGAGCAGGCCTGTCTGCAGATTCGTTACCTTTATGCTATTTGTCTACAATCCAATAATAGTACAAGAAAGACACAAAGAACATTTACTGTTTGTAGAAACCTTAGATTATTGGACTGTGCTCGTCAACACTGTGGGATCATTTTCCACGTTTATTCTTATATGAATGTACAGAAATGTATTTGTATTAGTGTCAACAGTGATCTATTTTTAAAAAATCTATAAAAGAGTGATATGCCCTTCATAAATATACCATGGTTGCCATTGTCTATTTTCTACTCACTTATCCCGTGATCTCTCTTGGGTTATCCTATCCCCTGTGGAGGCTGGACGGGCCGGGTTAAATTGCCGTGTTGGCACTTTGCGATCAATATGTGGGTTTTGGGTCGCCGTTTGGGCACTTGGTCTCTAAAAGGTTCGCCATCACTGCCTTAGATTATTGGACTGTGCTGCTTGTCAACATTGTGGAATCATTTTTCACGTTTATTCTTGTATGAATGTACAGAAATGTATTTGTATTAGCATCAACAGTGATCTATTTAAAAAAAAAAATCTATAAAAGAGTGATATGCCCTTCATAAATATACCACGGTTGCCATTGTCTATTTTCTACTCACTTATCCCATGATCTCTCTTGGGTTATCCTATCCCCTGTGGAGGCTGGACGGGCCGGGTCCTCGAAGGGCCAGGCGTCCTGTGGAACTTGCTTCCAAGGGATATTCTGTGTCCTTTTCCTCTGGGGCGGCTTTAGGGAGGAAACCTCAACCGGCACTGAAGATGCCCTCCGCATCCCCTTTCTTGACCTGCTGCCTCTTTCCGACTGAAGGCTGAGGGGCCTGATTCTCGGGGCTTCTCCTTGTGTTCCCTGCAAGCAACTCTGTCGGTCCATCGAACTCAAGGTCATTTGCTCTGAGTAGCAGCAGCTCTCCAGAGTGTGGAGCAGACACCTGCCTTGAGTGAGAACTCTGAATCCAGGCTGATTGAATCCCAGAGGAGACCTGCCGGGATACTTTTCACTGGAACGTAATCTTGGAAAACGAGAGAATGTACATCCCACAACTTGCCTCCCTGGCGGCTCAGCCAGGTCTGAAGGGAAACGGCGGTTTAACTGTCTTTTGGGCTCTAACTCCCACCTGCTCTCCCAATATTCTGAAGGCCCTGATTGGCTGCTACCTGCCCCATGAATATTTCAACCAGGTTTAAAGGTGATTGGTCATTTTCAGGAAATGGGCAGGACTTTGACTTGTCCGTCACACAGGTCCCTATTAGCCCCACCTCTGTGGGACTCTTACCACAGAGGCAAAACTTCCTACTAACCACCACTTGGTATTCAAGAGCTGCACGTTTGGGTTTCAGCACATGTGAGAAGGGAAGGGGAAAGGGGAGGCAAGGCACACACTTTGAAAGAGGTCTTAGAAAGAAAAGGAGGAGGCTCCGAGGGAGACTGGGAATGACGATGGAGTTAGGTGAAAGTTAGTAAAAGTTCTGAGATTTTTCTATGGCGTAGATATTAAGTCCCGATGCGTTCCGCTTAGGTGGGGTGGGGTTTTAACAGCTTAATCTCGGCCTGTTTCTCCTTTACGCTGCTATTTCACTGCGGGGTAGGGTTCTTCCTCCGTGAGCTCCCCCCCTTCTTTACAGAGCTGTGTCATTTCGCTGTATCAGTATTTATTCCTCCACCCTCTTTACATTCATCTTTCTTTTTGAAACTTTACTCACTGTTTCTTTAATCGCTGAATCGCTTTGACGCATAGAGATAATCTTTTATTTAAGTCCTTGTATGCTCTGGTCCGGTAATGTCTTTGGGTGCCATTACTGGCCTCGAGGCAGCGGGACCTTGCGGAGCAAAAAGAGAGCTCGTTTCCCCAAGCTGAAACTTTGGGAGCGGCCCCTTCCATGCTCCAGGCTAGAAGCTCCCTCCAAGAGCTTCATGGGGAAATTGGAACCGGCCGATCCCCCTCCCTGCCGCTCCGATCCGAATTGCACCCATTGGAGCTCAATGGAATGCATTCGTCGTGAGTCGCCGCCAACCGGAAGTCCTGCCAGCACCCCTTTCTCACTGCCTTCATCCAGACTTCCCTGAGTGCTTCTTCCCTGAATACTTTTAGCTTATATTTTTTAAACTTTATAATTACTTTTTCTTGCTACAAACAGCAGTGATAATCAGTTTTTAGCTGAAAAGATGGGGAAGCGGGGACTACAATACATACATACAGTGTAAACAGCTGATAAATGCAGCCTACTTTATCCATCCCTGAAACCAGTTCCAAAATCTGCATTTAGAGGTAATTTCTGATGATTTCTCTAAATACGTAACATTGGGGATAGATTCTAGAAAGGGTCTGCAAGCAACCTTTGGCTCTAAATCCAGGTGTGGCCATTTAAAAAGAAATGCAAATGAAATCTTGAGGTTGTAGGGTTGCTGGCTCTGGATTGGGAAATGGCTGGAGATTTGGGGGGTGGAGCCAGAGGGCAGTGGGGTTTGGGGAGGGAATAATGCCACAGAGTCCACCTTCCAAAGTGGCCATTTTTTCCAAGTCACGTGACCTCTGTTGCCTGGTGATGAGTTGTAATCCCAGGAGATCTCTAGCCATCACCTGGAGGTTGTTGATCTTATCTATTAGAGGCAGGTGGGATGCTAGAAAAGGAACCTAGATGTGAAGGGAATAGCAGGAGAACATTTTTGTGGAACTAAAGGTCTCCTTAGAGACAGTTTACAGAAAGGGAACTGGCAGAGGTGAACAGCTGCAGGTAATTCAGGTGCCAACCATGGCCAGATTTATGTCGGGGCAATAAAGCAATCACTCTGGGTCAGCTCCTCCTGTGTACATTTATTCCGTAGTGGGAGACCTCTCTGAGTGGCACTAACTCATGAAGGACTTGCAACAAGGAAGTGTTTAAGCTACAGAACCTTTATACATTATTAGTTAAAGATACCAATCATAGAATCATGGAGTTGGAAGGGACCTCCAGGGTCATCTAGTCCAATCATCAGTTGACATATTTATTGTTTTACAACTGTTGAGCTTTACAACTGTTGAACTGTTTTTAGAACCTTGTTATTTAGTTTTTCACTTTGCCTAACTTAAACATCATCCTGTTAAATGTTAATTTGCAGTTAAACCCCTGTCTGTTTTTAGAACCTCCTCTACCATTCCAATGTATTTGAAAAAGAGTGCCTTGCAGACCAAAGCTCGTACCTTTTAATAAACCTTTGTTGGCCTTGGGAGGTGCCACTGGACTCCAACTTTGTTCAGCATACTCATTACGGTTCAGGACTCATAGGGTTGCCAGGTCTGGCTTGGAAAATACCTGGAGACTTTGGGGGTGGATCCAGGGGAGGGCGGGGTTTGGGGAGGGGCCTCAGCAGGGTACAATGCCAGAGAGTCCACCCTTCAAAGCAGCCATTTTCTCCAGGGGACCTGGACTCTTGTCAGCTGGAAATCAGTGGTAAAAGCGGGAGATCCCCAGGCCCCACCTGGAGGCTGGCAACCCTATTTGGGAAGAATGGTTTGGGACACTGGAGAGATGGGGGACTTTGGCAATGATGTGACAACACCCCCCCCCCCATGTTTCCAGGAAACCTGATTCTAAAGAGCGACACCACCAGTATCTAAAGAGCGACACCAGGATCAGCTCTCTCAACCAAACCGGATTCAGACCCGAAAGCGGAAAACTCTGGGCAACGCGCTGCTCGGCCGCAGTTTTGCTGCACTGCAAGTCACCTTCGCCCTTGTCACGTGCAAAGGCCCTTTTGTAGTCCTTCCTTTCCCCCTTCTTGGAAGGCTGGGCTTGGCCGCGTTTGTCTGCGAGCGCCGGGAACGTTCCGCCGTCTGCTGCTGCTGAACTTCAGCGTAAGTAATCGCATTGCGGGAGAAGCCCGCCTGTTTCACTGAAAAGGCAGTTTTAAAGAGCTGTTTTTTTTTAGGATTGATCGCCTGGTTTTATTTTATTTATTTTTTTGGAAAACACACTCTGCATAAGATACTGCCCGGCAGGCAAACTCTGTATTGGACGTTTGGTCCGTGTGTCGCTGGAGACCAAGATCAAGTTAATGCATTCCATAGTGGTCCCTATTCAGACGTTACATTTCACCGTGTTTGAAATGCAAGCACATCTTGATCAATGTTCCCTCTAGGCTGCAGAGTCATGTGAGCAAAAATTCTACTCTGTGAGTTACTGGCATTACAGTTGTGAGCAAGCAGTTTGGCTACTGCATCAATTAGTTTGCTCTGGAGCCATCCTTCCTCAGCTAAGACAAAAATGGGTGAGCCGGAGGCTAAAAAACTGTGAGCTAGCTCACACTAACTCAGCTTAGAGGGAACACTGATCTTGATATATGTTCTTATGACCTAGTTGCATGCAATGTTCCCTCTAAGCTGTGGAGTGATGTGAGCAAAAATTCTACTTTGTGAGCTACTGGCATTAAAGTTGTGAGCGAGCGATTTGGCTACTGCATAAATTAGTTTGCTCTGGAGCCATCCTTCCCGAGCTGAGACAAAAATGTGTGAGCCAGAGGCTAAAAAACCGTGAGCTAGCTCACACTAACTCAGCTTAGAGGGAACACTGGTTACATGTCTGCTCGCTGACAGGGAAACCAAAAAAGAACTCTCAGCAGTTGCAAAAATTAGTGTACTCCTTTTGTCTAGTGGGTGACAAGTGACTATAATAACAGCTATTTGCTGCTCAAGATCCAGTTATCTTGGCGGTCTTATTGGATGAAAGGAGAGGATTCCCCGTTGCCATGTATGGATATGTTAAACCTGGAGAGTGAAGAAAGGTAGATTCAGGTGGGTAGCTGTGTTGGTCTGAAGCAGCAGAATGAAGTTGGAGTCCAGGGGGGCACCTTTCAGACCAAGATGGATAGCCCTGTTAGTCTGCCTGTGGCAGTAGAAAAGCGGGAGAAAAGAGCGAGAGTCCATTAGCACCGTAAAGACTAACAAAATATGTGGCAGGGTAGGAGCTTTAGGGAGCTGCGGTGGCTCAAGTGGTTAAGACGCTGAACTGCAGGCTGTGGAAGGTCGGTAGTTCAGCAGTTCGAGACCCGAGTGTGCCGTATGACGGAGTGAGCTCCCGTCTCTAGTTCCAGCTCCTGCCAACCTAGCAGTTCGAAAGCAAGAAATTGCAAGTAGATAAATAGGTACCACTTCAGTGGGAAGGGAACAGCGTTCCGTGCGCCTTGGTGTTTAGTCATGCCAGCCACATGACCACGGAAACGTCTTCGGACAGCGCTGGCTCTTCGGCTTTGAAACGGAGATGAGCACCGCAACCCTAGAGTCGGATTCAACTGGTTTTCGAGCAAGGGGAAACCTTTACCTTTACCTTTTTAGGAGCTTTAAGGTGCTAAGGGACTCTTGATCTTTTCTACTGCTTTAAGACCAACAAAGTTTAATTCTGGGTATAAGCTTTCCTTTGCACAAAGAAGTGTGCATGCACACAAAAGCTTATATACCTTGTTGGTCTTAAAGGTGCCACTGGACTCAAACTTTGTTCCAGTGAAGAAAGGTGACGGGAAGAAGTTGATTCACTGGAAATGTGGTGTCGGAGGAGAGTTTTACAGACCCCAGAAAGACAAATAAATGGGTTCAAGATCAAATCAAGCCTGAACTCCCTAGAGTCAAAAATGACCAAAATGAGGCTATCATATTTTGGTCATATTATGAGAAGGCAAGAGTCACTAGAAAAGGCAGCAATTCTAGGAAAGGCTGAAGGCAGCGGGGAAAGAGGAAGACGCAACATGGAGGAGGAGGAGGAGATTGGATTTATACCCTGCTCTTCACTACCCAAAGGTGTCTCAGAGCGGCTTACAAACTCCTTTCCCTTCCCCTCCCCACAACAGACACCCTGTGAGGTGGGTGGGGCCGAGAGAACTCTGACAGAAACTGCTCTTTTTCAAGGACAGCTGTGCCAGAACCTGTGACTGACCCAAGGTCACATCAGCAGGTGCAAGTGGAGGAGTGGGGAATCAAACCCGGGTCTCCCAGATTAGAGTCCACGCACTTAACCACTACACCAAACATGAAATGGGTCGACCCAATAATGGAAGCTACTGCCCTCAGTTTGCAAGACCTGCGCAAGGCTGTTAACGATAGGACCTAATTCGTAGAGTTTCCATAAGTCGGAAACGACAACACTCAACAGACACACACAATCTTATATGAACAGTGGAGAAAAATGAACGTTCTCAGATAGAGAAGGTCAGCTGTAAAAGTGAGAGGGATTATTGGTGAGAGTCAGTTACAAATTAAGCCGCCGTTTCCCCTAGCATAAACATTCACAAGGTGAAGAAGTGCGCAGGCACACAAAAGCTTATCCCCAGAATTAAACTCTGTTGGTCTTAAAGGTGCCACGGGACTCAAAGTTTGTTTTGTTGCTTCAGACCAACACAGCTACCCACCTGTATCTATGTTCACAGGGCCAATGAAGTTTTATTAGAATCAATCAGAATTAGGCTCTGGTTCAGAAGCATGTGTTCACAATGTGGTATGCGAACTTTTGAATTACACAGAACTACTACTCCTGCATGGTCCAATAACCTTTTTTAAAAAAATATCTGAGGCAAATTTTAGAGCAGTTCTATTGCATGGAAGATGAATAAAGACATTTAGTCAATGAATGGCCTGTCATCATGATATAAAACAGGAGTCCAGTGGCACCTTAAAGATTAACACATTTATCGTGGGGAAAAAAGCTCTGGCTCACAGACGTTTGCACTGCAACATATTTTGTTGGTCTTTAAGGTGCCACTAGACTGTTTTATTCTGGGGTTGCAAACTAACATGGCTGTCCCTTTGGTTTGATTTTTCCTGTAATGATGCTATTGATTGTTCAAAGAAAGGGAAGCAGCTGATATTTTTTACACTTTGATTTGGACATGGAGAGTGTTTTTCTTTAATATCATATAGCACCCCTTCATCCAGGGAGCTCAGCTCAGCTCTGTGAGGGCGTTTCAGCTGAGAGGTAGGAGACTTGTTCAAGAGCGGTCCTTCTCCTGACAGTTATGTATGCCTGCTTTACCTTTCGTCTGTTTCTCCCTCATTTCTCTCCCCCAAAGTTTAGAAGAGCTCATGTAGGAAAAATAGTTTTGAAGCCATAGGCCACCATGATCAGTATCTATCTATCTATCTATCTATCTGTCTATCTATCTATCTATCTATCTATCTATCTATCTATCTATCTATCTATCTATCATCTATCTATCTATCTATCTATCTATCTATCTATCTATCTATCATCGAACTACACCCTTTCCTGGGAAATGAGCATACAGTTGCAACACTTGCTGCATATAAAGTGCTTCCCAGTTCTGACTTCATTGCTTTCCATTACATACCTGTGATTAAAACGTGGGATTTGCTGCCAGGGAATGTAGTGATGGCCACAGGAATAGACAAGTTTAAATGGCAGTTAGGTAGAATCGTGGAGGATAGGTCTAACCGTGGCTATTAGCCATGGTGAGTGAGTAGAGGATATGTCTGTCATTGGCCCCGGTCACACGGGAGGTTTTGCCCCGCAAGAGGGACATATCGGGGGTGCATCAAACGGGCGCGATCACACCGCAACATCTGGGAAGCGGAGTGCACCCGTCCCCGATCCGTCCTTTCCGGGCGAAACCGCGCATCAAAAAAACCCCTAGAAAAGAGTACTACCTACCTGAAGCTCCGCAGCAAGGGCAGCCGTGGGATCACCGGCGCGCCCGTCTTCTGCAGCATTCGAGGCTCCCGGCCAAACTGCGCATGCGCACACATGCGCAGCCGGCTGCCTCGCTCTCCGTTCCGTGGCTCCCCCCCCGGCATCTGATCGTGCTGGGGAGCAACTGCGTGGCGGCTCAAGGGATCTGTCTGATCCTGCCACCGCACGTCTATTTTGCGCTTTGGCTGTGCTCCCCCCCCCCCGTGTGACCGGGGCCCTTGGCACCTTGCCATTTCTTCTATTGTTGGCCCTCCAGAGGAACTGGTTGACCATTATGTAAGATAGGATGGTGGACTAGACAGACCACTGCTCTGATCCAGCTGGGTTCTTCTTATGTTCTTACGAAGATGCTTACTATTTTCCTCACAGGGATATAATGGAAAGTGGTGAAATAACATATAAGAACACAAAACTGGGCTCAGATTTTTTTTTCCAAATGAGATGTTGGGTTCAACATATCAAATGTGACAAACATAAAACGAGGCGATTTTGATGAGCACAGTCAAAATAAGCTAAAACAAAAGCCAAAATGAACAGGAATATAGTAAAGGTAAAGGTTTCCCTTGCTCGAAAGCCAGTCGAATCCAACTCTAGGGGGCGGTGCTCATCTCCGTTTCCAAGCCGAAGAGCCAGCACTGTCCAAAGACGTTTATGTGGTCATGTGGCCGGCACGACTAAACGCCCAGGCGCACGGAACGCTATTACCTTCCCACTGACATGGTACCTATTTATCTACTTGCAATGTCTTGCTTTCGAACTGTTAGGTTGGAAGGAGGAACAAGAATATACAGGCTTGTAATTTAGCCACCTGGCCCGTATGGTGAGTAAATACTGTCTCCAGGCAACCAGAGAATATGAATTCACAAGGGGGGGCATTGTAGGAGCGATGGGGTTGGCCTAAACCAGGGGTGGCCAAATTACAGCTTGGGAGCCGCATGCGGCTCTTTCACACAGTCTAATTTAATGTTAATAAAAAGCAAATTTGCATATTTTTCAATAAAATCGTGTGTGTCATATTTGTTCAAGTCTTGCGGCTCTCAAACACCTGAAGTTTATTCTGTGTGGCTGTTACAGTGAGCAAGTTTGGCCACCCCTGGCCTAAACAGTCTACTCAAAAGTGAGTACCACGTTATTCAATGGGGCTTACTCCCAGGAAGAGGCTCTTAGGAATGCAGCCTTAGTCATCAAGCAAGGTAATGTTGTATCGGTAATTTTTGCATATTAAAAATTGTGATTAGGTGTGTCTTCTGTGTTCCAGAATGGCCGTGGACTGGATTGGCTATAGCTATGCAATTTTAGTGGCCTCTGGTGGAGTAATTGGCTATGCAAAAGCAGGTATAGTACCGATGAATCCTCTCTCTCTCTTTTTAGTGAAGTCAGCTGTCTGAAATGGAAACCTATCTTATAAAAAAGAAAATATCTTTCAATTTATATATATGGATATCAGCTGCTATTGTTAGTTCTTCTTATAAGTTGCTGATTCACCATTGCAAAGAATGGACCGGCTTCCATTGGAAGAACTGCTTTAACGTGATAAGCTTACAAGCTGCTATCAGTTCTTGCAGGGTGGTAATTTGTTGCTACACCCTTCTTTTGGTCTAGTGTGAATAACATTGCTAGTCCTTGGTCCCGGTCACACGGAGGGTTTTGGCCCGAAGGAGGGACAGATCGGGGCCGCAGCAAACGGGCACGATCTCACTGCAACATCTGGGAAGCGGCGCACACCCGTCCCCGATCTGCCCCTAACCCCGGAAACCCCGCAGCAAAAAAGAACCACCAAGCGCGGCCGTGGGATTGCCGGCGCATCCCCGGCTCCTGGCCAAACTGCGCATGCAGACGCATGCGCAGCCGGCTGCCTCGGTCTCCTGACCGTGGCTTCCTCCCCGGCATCTGATTGTGCCGGGGAGCAACAGCGCCGCAGCTCAGGGGATCCGTGTGATCCCGCCGCTGCGTGTCTATTTTGGTGCGGCTTCCAAAAGCCGCACTTTG